CTAGTATATATATATATATATATATATATATATATATATATATATATATATATATATATATTTATATATATCCTCCGCCTTTTTCATAGAGAAGATAGTTGTTTTTATAGTTCTATTGAAAAAGAAATGTCAAAATGAAAAGAAAAAGTAATTTTACATAAATATCTGATTGGATTCACTGCCTACTATTTCTAGCCAGTATACATAGATATACATGTTTAATTATACACATATTATATATATGTATACTTTCACCGGCAACTTTTTTGTTTAAGCAATTGGACGTGAGGCTATTTAAGTTAATTCTTCACAGAAACAAAAAGAAAGATAATCTAATTATATTGAAACTAAGTTTACTTTAAAAAGGAAAAATAAGAAGGTCACTTACAATACCACGATTGGTTTCTACTAAACAACCTGAACCACTTGAAGCAAAGTTCACCCCATGAATAAATTTATCGGTCCCAATTTCAAAAAATGCTGGAATTAAAGGCAAATTAGCAAATTCCGCTGCAAATAACAAACCAAGAACATTATCAACTTAGTTATTGACAATCACAAAAACAAGGCAAAGATATATAGAGAACTTGAGAATTATTAATACCAATAAAATCGGATATGAGGCGACCATCACAAGGTCTACCAGTAGGAGATTTGAAGAACGTTTCGCCATAAGGCGGGAAATTTGCTTGGAATTGAGTCGTAGTGTTAATGAAATTATTATTTCCCGAATCTAAAATTGAATCACCAAACACAAATAGGGCAGGAAAAGGTCCAATATTGCCTTCAACAATTTCAATTGGACTGGCCAAAAGAAATGAAATGACAATCAAACAACATCCAAAAAACAAGTTCTTACTAAAAGCCATTAGTTTTGTGATGAAAAATTGATGGAATAATTTGTTAGTTGTCTTCCTTTTTATATATAAAAGTTGTTTTCTTTTTAGTAAAAAAATTAACTTCAAGATCTACATTAAACTCCATTTGATCATATACTAATAATGTTAGGCTAGAAATCTGTATATATATTTTAAATATAATTCTATATGTAGTCTTTGACTATTGACTCAATCCTTATTTTCTAAAGTCATCAATATAGATTAATATTCTGAAACTTACATGGAAATACATTTACAAAATTGTTTATATACGAATATCGCAATCTAAGAGCATTTATATGTTTGAATTGAAGAATGGATATAGGGAAAACGGTATATTATTCAAATTTTAAGGAGGTGTAATTTCAATATTTACATAAAATTTGGTAAATTGATTTTTTTTCCGTAAATAGCAGCTTATTGGTGTACTTTGATTCAGCAAATATAACGCTCAATATTAACAGATATGCACACGTGTGCATTCGATATAAGTAAAAGATTCATCACACGTAGGCTAGATTTGCATTGACTAAATATTTTGTCATCGAAAGGGAATAGGTCCAATTTTGGTGATCCAACCCCAATTCCTATAGAAATTGTCAAACAGAAAATGGAATTATACTGAATTTCTGAAAGGGTGAAGCGTGATGTTTTTAGATAGGGGTGTTCACGGTTTGACGGAAAACCGATCCAAACCGAAAACCGAGCCAAACCGATTAAGTAAACCGATATTTTTTTTGATTTGGATTGGTTTTGGTTTTAAATTTTAAAAACCGATAATATTTGGTTTGGTTTTGGTTCTATTTTAAAAAACCGAAAAATAAACCGAACCAAACCGATTAATTATATATAAAATTTAATAATTATTTATATACAATATAATATCTTTTTGTTAATAATTTTAATTGTTATCTTGAATTTTGGTTTATCCTGTTATATCTTATAAGATTGCCTAAGCCCAAAACAATAGGATTCGACCAATTTTCTTTTCATTAATAGACTCTAATTCTCTAACCCTCCGCACATACTTTTGCCTAAAAGAAGAGTTAAAAAAAAATCACCACAAGAGTAAAGAAAGTGTTAGTAGACTGTATTTGTAAAATAATTCTGGAAATATAAATGAGTATAAACAGAAATGAACATAAACAGAAATGACATAAAACCAATTCGAGCCCACTGAATTCACAGTGTTTTCTTAAGGAATTTAATCCCCTCCTAGTACCCAAGGTTATGGATTATTTCCTCCCAGGATAGAACGAATTACACACTGGTGTAATGGTACTTCAAACCCCAGTGTTTCAGCAAACACAAAGTTCGGTAGCAAATCACACTTACTTTTTGCTTTGTTTGATGCTAAAAGTATGCAGAAGAAGGAGAAGAAACTCAGAAAATCGTAGTGAAATTCTGAGCAGAATAGTGTTGTATTTATAGCCAAAGTTAGGCTGAAATCTGAAGAGGTGCAACTCTTCAGAATGGCTGTTTATGCAAAACGCCCACAGCATAAATGCCATTACATAAATGGCCATTTATTCAATAATAAAGAGGGAAAATAAAGAGGGAAAATTGAAGAGGGTAGTTACTTTTCTGTTACCAAAACAGAAAAACGGATTGGATTTAATATTAATATTTAATATTAATATTTTGTTATTAAAACAAATATTTAATAACATTTCTGTTAATATTTTACTATTAACAAATAAATTTGGTCCAAAAAGTTAATCAAGTAATCGTTTAACCAAATCCGAATCCGAATCCGAAGCCGAAGCCGAAGCCGAAGCCGTAGCCGTAGCCGAAGCCGAAGCCGAGCCGAGAGGCTTGCCTTCTTTTCAACTCTTTAAGAGCTAGAAGAAGAGCAATTGCTTATATACCCATAAAAAACCTCTTCCTCTTCCAATATGGGACAATGCCCATTTGCCAAGGGGGGGAACTTAAAATTTCACTCAAAAATTTTATTTCCCTCCATTTCCCATTCACCCTCTTTTAAGTACTTAATATATTAATTAAACACATCCAAAACCCAACAAACAATACAAGTCAAAAGTTTGTTAAACTTAAGGTATTATACTTGCTTTTACTTTTATATGTTTTAATTAATTTTCAATAAGGATAAATATATAAACTTAGATGTTAAGAAAACAAATCGCCTTGAGAATTTGGTGTTCGAATGTTAATACTATATCTCAATATTTATATATGTATTCAAATTCAAAACGCCTTAGGGTTGTTTGGTATGAGGTATAAGAAGGTATAGTGCTGGTATAAAAATTTAATATCGCCTTAATACTTTGTTTGGTTAGCAAACTTGGTATAAGTTATCCCGAGATTAAAATTAGTACTGGGATAACTTATACCTTGTAGAGGGTGGGGTAATTAGTGCCAGGATAATTATACCTTCTTCTTATAAATTATGCAATTGTTATTTTTAATACAACATATCAAATAGTGGATAAAAAATAATACCAGGATAACTAATCCCAACATAACTAATCCCAGCATAACTTATCCTAGCATAACTTATTCCGGCATAAGCCGTATTCAAACCAAACAACCCCTTAATCTTTTAGATATACATTCACATACATACGTCTTAATAAACATTGTATAGTATTAGAAAAGGACAATTGAATCACACCATAAATTTTCTAAGTTAAATTTAAATAGTTCAATGTATTTGTTATATTTTTTAAAATAAAGTAGGTAAGCATAATATCCTAAATTATAAGCAAAGTTAGTATTATCAAACTAAATGGGATAAAAACGAAAAATGAAATATTGTGGAGAGAAGTTACGGCATCTTTTTTCAAAAGTGAAGGAGTAACCCAAACAAATGTGAAGACCGTCAGGAACTCATTTTGAGCAGAGAATCCCATATTCTTGTATGGGTCCAAATTTGGTGATCGCGGTAATGGATACGCAATATAAAAGACGGGGTCGACTATGATATAACAATTGAAGGTTGTTCTCACAAAGGTTGATGCTAAAAGCGGACAACCGAGATTAGAAAGTAACAATAACATTGATTCAGAAGTGGACATAAAGAATATTCCTTTGGATATTCTTTATGCTGTACTTTTTAGTGTTTTTAGAGAATATCCCATATAAATAGAAAGAGATAGAAAAAAAAGGGGATCTTCATTTTTTCTGGACAAAAGACATATTGTAAGAGTTGACAAAGGAGAATATCAAAAAGTTGTCTTATTTTGTTGGAAATACTAAAAAGCATACGTTGTTCTATCTGGATCCATAAATCTAGAGATTCCACATCCATCCCAACTTCATACTTTTTCACGTCGCAGACAGAGAAAAAGGACATCCCAATCATATGATAGTTGGGTGGTAGATCCCTTTTCATTACATTTATTGCCATTTGCTCATATTCATTCCATATTTATACCACCTTATTTATTGTCAATCATAGTGTATTGAATCCATTATTTGATGCATCTGAACACTGCTCATTTCACAAAATCATCTATTTTATCCGGTCTAGAAGTTATTAAATTCAACTAAGATTCACCCCTTTAATTTATCAATTAATTGGTTTAGCTATTTATTTGCTCAAACAATTTGGCATCGTCTGTGGGGGAGGTTTTAGTTGAAATTTTAGTTCCCTCTAGATCACAAAAAGATAGCCATCTCTTCTTCGCTTGTACAAACTAACAATGGCAGGAAAAGGCGAGACAAGGCAGAAAGCCATAACAGATGCCACTACCAACATTTTGAACACCATCAACGAAGATGACAGAGAAGACAACGAGAATATGACACCAAACGCTACGCTCAGACGGAATGAATCACCTCCCCGTCATGAAAGCGTAACCTCTTCACGTGAGAGAGGAGCCTCCACGTCTACAGCTGAGGAAGCACCACCAGCAGTAAAAAAATTACTGGAGGAGTGGCTGACGAGCACTATAAACAACATACTCGACAAACCCATTCAAAGGGAGAGCAGAAACACCGTGCAAGCGGATATCACAATGATCACTGGCGAGAAGCTCGTCCCTCAAACAGGTAACACTTACACCATTATTGATGCAGGTAGTGACACACTCGCAGCCATTTTGAAGAAAATGGAAGAAATGGAAAACGAAGACAAGGCACTCCACGACCAGATGAGGGAGCATCAAGAAAGGGTCGATAAGATACCGGGCGCCCCAAAGTTGCTACCAAAATGAGATGTTGGTCAGTTCGTCCAACAACCGTATAGCGAAGAAGCGGCACCACATGCCATTCCCAAAAGCTTCAAAATTTCACCTTACCTGAAGATATACGACTGTACTATAGACCCCGAAGATCATATCATCCATTACGTCACATCGGTGAAGGGCAACGATTTTTCAAAGGAGCAAGTACCATCAGTGTTACTGAAAAAGTTCAGCGAAACCTTAACGGTGGGAGCCTTAACCTGGTATTCACAACTGCCGGCGCGGTCGATAACAATGTTCGAGGAAATGGCTGATAATTTTGTCACCGCCCACGCAGGAGCTAAAAAGGCGTAGGCCAGGGTGAATGATATATTCGTCATTAGACAATCGCCTGGCAAGGGACTCAGGGACTTCCTCGCACGATTTAACAGGGTAAGAATGAGCCTACCAAATGTATCAGAAGGGATGGCGGTAGCAGCTTTCCAAAATGGGTTGAACAGGAACGGATCGAGAGCAACCAGAAAGTTATTAAGCAGGCTCATGAAACACCCTCCCACCACTTGGGAAGAGATCCACAATGCCTACTGCGCCGAAGTGAGAGCCAACGAGGACGGCCTTAACGGTACGACCCAACGGTTGACATCAGTTCAAATGGAACTTAGAAAAGATCGCCGTAACGACGGTCGAAGAGATCAGTCAGGCCCCCGTCTAAACCGAAGAAAGACATCAACCCTATATCAGAACGGTCGTCCCACTGTCTCCTCGACATGCGGAAGGGCCATCCAGACCGCATACAGGGACTCAGCGAAACTAAAGAGGTATGCCTCCACTCTTATCTGCTCACAA